AGTCTTACGGGATTCAAGGGAAAATCCTTCGCTGGATCAAGGCGTTCCTATCAGACAGATCATTCCGAGTGATAATAGGCTCGACCTATTCCTCTCCAGCGCCGGTCTTAATTGGAGTTCCTCAAGGCTCCGTCTTGGAAACACCCCTATTTCTAATCTACGTCAACGACCCCCCAGACGTTCTTGCGAGTCCATGTCTACTTTTTGCGGACGACTTGAAATCCTGGAGTTCCAATGCCATTTCCCTTCAAAGGATGTAGACGCTGCCAAGCAGTGGTCGTTGGTCTTGCACCTTCCTCTGAATGATGAAAAGTGCGTCCATATGTCGTCTGGAGGGGATTCAGCGAATCCTTTGTTATGATCGGTGATGTGGAACAGGCGACTCGTGCAAGGAGGGCCACAGACAATCGTCGCCGCTACTGACTGGCAGGGGTGTTTAAAGGGGTGTTTAAAGGGGTGTTGGAACGCGGCTTGAAGGAACAAGGCGGTTGACACTTGCGTGCTTTTGGGCCATAAGATTGGTGATACCAGCACCAAGAGGGACGGGCACGAGATAACGATCTGGATCGTGAACGTGGTCGATGCCTGTTGATGTCTAACCGTTGCAGGCGATCGGTCAAAGCATTAAACTTGGCTTGTAGGTGCGATATAGAAGCAAGGGGTCGGTCGAAATCTGTGGGCGCAGGGCGGGAGACGGAGTTTACGGGGTTACTGGGGTATGTTTCGTGTATCTTATCCGCATTTTAGCTGCTCCACCGTCTAGGCATCAAACTTGGCTTGTAGGCGCGATATGGAAGCAAGAGGCGGGTCGAAATCTGTGGGCGCAGGGCGGGAGACGGAGTTTACGGGGTTACTGGGGTATGTTTCGTGTATCTTATCCGCATTTAGCCTAGCTGCTCCAAGCTGTGTTCATCGATGAAAGCGCTGATAACGTGGGAAATGGAGGGTGGGAGTTTGTCGATCCGTAGTCGGGCCAGGGTTTCCACCGCTAGCTTCGGCCGCAGAGGAGACTGCGCATGTGGCGAAGCAGTTGTGCTGGCGAACCGTCCCCAAGTTCGACAGTGGTGAATAGATCCGGTAGCATCTTGTTTTCTGATTTCCCTGTCCTACTTATGACGGCCACTAGAAGGGCGTCATACGGATTTTCCTGAGGAACGTCTTCCAACAGATTTTCAACTTCTGTTGCTGCATCAGAAGGAAGATGCTGGACAACATAGGAAAACCGGGTGACTTGGGAAGTGATGCGTCGGGTAGCAAAACCGGCCTCAACCTGGTGAAACCATACCCTGTGGTTGCGTGGATTGTAGCCTGGCAAACGTATGCTGATTGCATTCTCGACTAAATCCGCTGAATCAAAGTGTGCTTCCATAATTATCGTGCAAGAGAAACAAAATTACGACGACTTGAAAGAAAAAGCTTTCAAAAAATATCTGGAAATACTCGGGCTCACCAAATTTGTTAGTCTACCAGGAATGTGTGGCAAAGAGATAAAAATAATTACGCTAGGTTGGGTATACAAAAATAAAGAGATCCGATGGATCAGACTCACTAACAATTGTTCTCTTTAAAATAGTTCGTCGTTGGCCCAGGTCAGCGAATAAACAATAATCCAATTATGGTGGTCCAGGGGTCTTCTCCTGAACAGTTCTCACATACAATAGATTCCGAAGATAGTCTGAAATGTTTTGATAACAGAGTTAGCACATGAGGCTCGCGAATGAGCGCTACAAGCGCGAGCGAAATCAGAAGAGAGAGTCGAAGCACGTGACCACGCTTGTATTTGGTGAAATTGTACCAGTGTGCGTTTTTATAGTTTTTCGTAGTTAAACAAAAACCGATTATGCAATTGATAACATACGTTATATTATAATGGAAGTAAAATGAATGTACAAAACGCCACACTACCAAAGTTTCGAGGCCCATCACCATAAATGCTGAAGCCCATTGCTTTCCCTTCCATTTCAGATAAGTGTCCGAATCATGGACAGTAATCGACTATCCGCAGAACCGAATCTAGGAGCTTTTGGGTTTCTAGCTGCACGCAAACCTATTGAGCACATTGAACCTTGTCATCATTCAAACCTAACGAACCCGTTAACCAATGAGGTTTCAGTATATACGTTGTGTCGGATGCTGGTTTCGGCCTTCTCCTTCGCGTTGTGTATCGTAAGTCTCCGCAAACATGAGAGTTTATTTGATCCACAGGCGCGCATTGTGAAGGCGACTGCAGTACCCAGTGGTAGGGAACTCGTGTGTGGAATCTCATTCCGGATGAGTACTGTCAACACGATGGATGGCATATTACTCGCATATAGGAAGCCGTAGTTCATGAACAGCACCCGTCGCGCCGCAAATTTATGAAGTGAGTGTAGCCATCGTTGGAGGACGCCCAGGTTATCGTCACTGAATTGCCGCTTCCAACCGCACGCTCTCAGTGTATAACAGGTGCGTGCTTCTTGGTGCTTCGAAACGATCAAACCTTGTGGTAATCAATTTTTGGTTCGGAACTCGGGCTTCCAAGGTGCCGTTCGTACCCAGCCGTTTCTATTCGCTCCAGTGGAAACCTCCGAATCCGTTCAGAAGCTTACCGCTAGTGACAAGCTTTGACGGCGCACGCGTCGACGACGCACGGGCATCGAACCGCCGGCTTCGAATTCAGACACGGTCGTGGCGTTCACAAGCACCAAAAGACCTCAGTCTGGAGAAAAACGAAGTAGATGGTTTCATCACACCATCGGACCAATCCTGTCGCATACAGAAGCGGCTTGGGGACATGGTAGCAAGGCCGACTGGGGCTGACGAAAGACAAGAGCCTTGGTGCTACACGGGGCGAGATGGCCCAAGTGGTGAGAACGCGAATTTACTGACCGGAAGGTTCGTGGTTCGAGTCCGACCTCCGCCTCTCGTCTTCCCCTGTCTAGGCTTGGGCAACCTGGCAGTATCCCAGCATTCGTGCTTCCTTCGGGTGGTATGACAGCGTTCAGCTACAGCTGAACGCTTTCTTCTTTTGGTGCTACGCAATCACCATCATGCTTACGCGCATTGAGCGATTAACTAGCAAGCCCTGCAACCGCATACGTATGCGGTAACCACCAATCATGCCATAGACAGGAGTGCACTGGTAACATTGTCCAGTGCTGTTTAACTTCAACCGAACCAAGCAAATAGCCTCCATTTGACAGACCGGTCGATGGTGTGAAATTCTTCTGCGAAACCATCAGTAAAACTATGTCCCGTTGAGCGGAATATAAGATTGAGAGCACTCAAAATTAGGGTGTACCAAGAAGTAAACCGACTTTCCTGGTGGTCCAGGTTGTGACGACCGAGGGCCCATCAAAATAATCTTACTCGTTGAGCGGAGAACCGTATTTGCTCCGACCGGCCAGGTCCACAAGGGCCATAAGACCAGAAAAACCGTGACTCATGTCGAAGAATGCTGTAGTGCTCTGGACCCAGCCTCGTCAGGAGAAACTTTTGGGGCAACCTGAAGGCACAGGAGGGTTCGTTGAACGCTTCCATTAAGCCACGAGGTGCACTAAAATCACAGGTACCAGTGTCAGGAGCATCGTCCGAATATCAGATAGGCTCATAGTACCAGCAGAAAACCTCAGACTGCACACCACTGTCATCACCGGAGTGTGGACAAGAATTAACAGCAAGGGGAATCTTCATCAGTAGCTATCAAATACTCAGAATTGATGTGGCCGAATCCAAACACGGGATTTGCGATCTACGTTGGTAATATTGTCCATCCCACTCACCTGCTCTCACAACGGTCTCACAGAGCTGTCAAGTATTAGACACGCGTCGTCCAGTGGATGTACGATATACGTTGCTATTATCTACCGGAGCGCACTTAGTACCAACAAATTAGGTATGACATTTCTGAAACCTGACAGACAAACCTATGCATATTTTAATTGTCAACTTGCCACGTATCATCAACATCCGCTTCCTATGCCATAAAGGCTGGTCGCAGACATCTCTGTAAGCAGAAGGATCATCCTAGTCATCGGCAAACACACGCACCGAGGCAGCCAGCAACGAGCGCCGGGTTGGATTTTTCCTAAAGATACCAGGGCTGGTGAATAGTGTTCACCTCATACCTCTGATGAGAGCTAGTCATCATGCAGTGATTGATATGCGAATACTATTCCGCTAGTCCATCATTTTGACATTGCACTGGTTCAAAATCCTTAGAATACCGACTTCAATACACTTCGACGGATGCTTCAGTCCCTTGAATGGTCCACTTCAGAAGTCACTGATCCACCTTAGGAATGAATATCTGTTGCTGCCAAGCAGCATTCCTTCTACCTCAGACCCGCTGTCTTGAAGGAAGTTTCATCAGTGATTCGAGCATCATGAATAGCTAAGGTACTGCAAAGCGTGATACGGAAACGAGCGTCTTCGGAAACACTCGGTCTTTCTAATCCACTGATGATTATGCCGGTGAAAAGGTCCCTCGGATTCGGACCATAACCTTATAAAAATGCAGGTCTCGTTATGAGACGTCCCTAATACAGCCACACGGATATATACCTCGCAAGGCATGCTGGATCTTACAATGGTGTGGCCGTTTGTGTGCTTCTGTTATACATTGAACCGCACGTGGCCGCTCCGTGCCCCACTCACACGGTCTTACACCAGGATATTCAGTGGCTGGAGACCTGGCTAACACATACCCCTGGTCATTTCAGTTGGGCGTAGGAAAAACCTGGCATTTTCTGCTAAACCGTTGCCCTGCTGTCAGGCTTTTGAGCCAAAAGTTTTAGATGAGTACCCTACCCGTCCTCCTGTCCAAGTTTGAATGGAGGCGACATGGCTCAGTAGTTATACGGATTTGCTGACCGGAAGGTCCATTATTCGAACCTGGCCTCTTCATTTCGACTTCTTCTGTCCAGGCTTGGGCAACCTCGCAGTATCCTAGCTCTCGTGCTTTCTTCAGGTGGCGTGGAAGTTGGGTACCGAAAGGGTGCTACGACTGAACGCTAGGTTGGAATGCCCTAGGAACATTCCAAGCATACAACCACGATTTTTACAGCTAAAAAATTCATGCTACCATTGTGTGGTGTCATCAGCGGGGTCACGTGCTGCATAAATAAATCAAAACTAAATCTAACCGTTGATCTCGTTTTTCGGCTTCTCAGGTGCTGACTACGGATTGGTCCAGTCCGTGGAGGTCCATTTGTTGACCCCGCTTCTACAAGTATGAACTCTGCAACTGCTTTCTATAGCGGATTATCTCTTGCGATATCCTCCACTTTGCTGATCGGTACCGGTTTCATCTTCAAAAAGAGAGCACTTCTCCGCGCTGGAGCAGCAGGAACGCGCGCAGGTTCGGTTGATTCCGTTTCTCATAACTGCTGGCCATCGACTGACCGCTTTTATATGGCACTTGTTTATAGCCTTATTTACCTGATGAACAGCCGCCAATTTCGTTTGCAGTAGTTATGATCTTCTTGACCAGTTGATAGAAAAATTCTTCGTAACACAGTTCCATCGATTGAGGCCGTTATTAGTTATGTCCATAGAGGTTAGTTGAGGTGTCTGTCTGTTATTTCAGCAGTAGCATCAAACTATACGAAGCTCACGCATTTACCTCAACTAATGGCCCGTTTGTGTGCTGCCTTGTAAATGAAGGCATGCGGTACGTACCTGTGGCAAAGTACTGCTAACGCTTATTCAGAATGCCGATGTTAGATGTAGGACCATTATTTAAACGCTTGGGTACGCTGCCGTAGAACGAATCACCTCAGCACACCAGCGGTGCACACAGTTCGTTCTTAGCGTTGTCTAACGTGTGGCGTACACTATGTTATGCTGCCATTGCCCATTAGTCAAGTAAAAGTTCATGTATTTTAAGGTTCGTCGGGGTCCCATAACTGGTTTTAATGGAAGAAGAGCACAACGTCCCTTCCTGGATTGTGTGACAAGCTATGCTTTCTATAAGCCTAGTTGAACACACCATTCAGTGGTACGCTAGGTTTATGTACTTGAACGGAATGCTCCTAGTCACCTTATGGAAACTGGTTCGAAAACTTTTCATCTGAAAACCAGCGAAACTTACATGGACGGATGGGTGAAACTGATAGGGAGTCCAACTTCAAATCGTCTTTACCTTTGACTTCAATACACTAGCAGTAAATAACAAGAGAATAATGCATTAGTTACGGTTTAAAGGCCAAAAGATGAGAACTTAGTGAAGAACTTTGTACCTTATTACACGGTTTGAATCTGGACAGTTGAGTTATTGACTGGTGAAAATGCATCATATCCCTAGGGAAAGCGACCTACGCCTACCTTCACCCATAAAGAGCAACGGGGAAAAATCATGGCGCCATATCGGACTGACGTCATCTGTGAGACCAACCCGACTTCCTTTGTGAACCTCAGCCCACTCACACATAAAACAACAAACGAACTTTGTTTAGGCAACTTAGCTAGGAAGTGGTGACACGTCCGCCACTAGAATCTCTTAAATGTCGTGTAGGGTTTCTCACTTCATGCAGGAAGAACCTCATGAACCCCAACTAGAAAGACTTGAAAACCCCATAGTACCATGTAGTCACTTTGGTTTCGCACAGTGATGTCATGGTCTCTGTTCCTCGCACGTTTTGTCAAAATGGGCTCATTTTGGAAAACAGTCTTTTTGGCAGATTGTGGTTTGGAATTTGTAGTGCACGTCCAAACCACCCTTAGGCTGACAAGGTCTATTTGCTGCTCAATGGATTCTTTTTTATTACCAAGTACTCACCTGTGCATCACCTTAATGCATCACCTAATGCAGCCAGCTGATTAGTGCTCTGCTGCGAAGTTACCCGCGATTAAAGATTTGGAAACATATAAGTTCTTAAGATCAGAGAGACTGGATTTCGTGGCCATGACCTTGGTATGGATACACCGCCCTTCTGATTCAGTAGAATTCTTTTTTGATGCCATAGCTGACACAAGTGTTTAGGTGTTGGCCGAGTTTTACTGATGCTCTGGCCGTCTATGTCCGTGTAAAATTGCTACTATTGAAGTTGCCAATCAACAATCTCAAGCCTTTTATCGTGAAGTTTGAAAACACCATAAGGAACTCCAAAGCTTCTGTAGTGGCTGTTCATTCAGGATTACAGTTCATCGATCTAACGTCTTTTCTTGGTATGACTTATGATCTATTAACGGGATCAGTCGGAGGCTATGGTGACTCCTCAGATCAAATTAGATAAGGGCAATGTTCTAAAAAATGGGCTGTAACATACTTCCGGTGCCTATCTACCATGCTACCCGAAGGAAGCACGAGGGCTGAGATACTCCCAGGTTGCCCAGGCCTAGACAGGGGAAGTCGAGAGGCAGAGGTTGAGTTCGAACCACGGACCTTCCGGTCAATAAATTCGCGCTCTAACCACTTGAGTCATATCGCAATGCTCTGAACTTTACTAGACAAGTCAATGACCTGTGAACTGGTTTGCAGCAATAATACTCAGTAGGGACGAGCCGGCTATATGAACTCATCGCTGCAACTTAATTGTCATACGTCAGTAAATGTTTCTGTATTCTGCCCCGGCTGGCGTGTTATATTTGAGGATCCATGTTACCTAATTAACATCGGAGAACAGCCTCTGGAATTATCTGCCACTTTCAGCACTATATAAAAGCGTGGCGCCCCCAATAAGTTTCCACGCAGTTTAAACCGTATGGATGTCATGCGGGTGACATTTTGTGGAAACTTACTTTTCGCCTCGTCGATGAGAGTTCATCGGTGTTCGAACGACCCCAAATTCACCATTTTGTCCATCAATGCGGTAGTGTTGTGTTACACGTGGTTTAGGTGATTGAGATCTTTTTTTTCTTTTATCTCTGGCGCTTGTCATTTCACGCTCGGCATTTTCAGAATTTTATTCACTCTCAAGTAATTATCGAGCACATCTCACATTAACCTCAGTGCCACCCGTGGCATTTCTTTCCATTTTGGCTATTGCGTGAAACTCTAAGTGAGCGTCTTTGGGCCGTCGTTCTGTCTGCTCTTCGATTAAGTTTGCCTTCTCACTGGAGTGTTGTTTCTTCCATTTAACATCATTTGACTTGACGGGAAGATGCGTAAAATACTGTCGTAGGTTCAAACGTTATATTAGGGGGTGCCAGTCTATTTTAGACCAACCCGAAAGATTGTCAGTTAATTATCTGGCCGTAGGTCGACACATCTACCACATCCCACTTTGTGCGTGAAGCATATGATTGCGAGGCTTGAAAGCGCAGGTTCAATCTAAAACTGGATTAGAACTCCATGGATTTATCGTCTTTACCAGAGAAATTTCTTCATATAGATTGCTTTTTCTCACCATTGTTTTTGTTTCGCTTGAAGACGCAACCATAGCAGACGCAATAGCAGATTTTAGACACAACAAGTGAGTAGAATGGTGATGCGCGGTTATTCCAGACAACATACTTCTAATGAAGTGGAAGTGGAATCTTCCCAGTGAACCGCACCCAAATATGATTGACAATGATTTCAAATCATAAGTATGGTATCGGTTTTTAGCGTCGTTTACCTTACTTTTCCAGTACATTTCTCATTCTACTTGTGTGTAATATGCGTACTCAGATTAGAAATTAGGCTTAAACACAGTAGCTAATTCTGTAGTCGCCATGATTATCTCCCAATTGCTTATAAATTACAGTGACCAAACATTGTATGTCAAACTTTGCTAATAATACTAACACTTCCTTTTCTTTCTCCTTGCTAGGCGATGGTGGACTGCTGTATCTACGGGACTGGGTATGGTGGATTGGTCTGATCTTATTAGGCTTGGGCGAGGGTGCGAACTTTGTGGCCTATGCCTTGGCGCCAGCTGCCCTGGTTACGCCACTTGGGGGCCTCTCTGTTCTGGTGTGTGCCGTACTAAGCGCTAGATTTTTGAACGAGCACTTGAATTTGGCCGGTAAACTGGGCTGTGTCGTTTGCCTTTTGGGATCCACTCTAATCGTGCTCCACGCACCCAAAGAACAACCAGTTGAAACGCTTCTGCAAATGCGCATGAATTTTACCGAACCCGGTAAGTGATATTTTTTTATATTTTTGATACTACAAACTACCATTCTTTTTATGTATCTAAATAAGTGGACTGAGGACGTGCCGCTTCAGCAGAAATTAACTTTACAGACTTACAGAAATATATGCATTGATGAGAGAAGTTTAAAGTGTAATACAATGCCAGTTGAGAGGATCAATTAAATCTGCACAGTTTACTCAGCCATCACGCCCTTTTGATTTTTAGGTGGTATAGGAGCAGAGTAAAATATCAAGTCTATCTCAAGCAATTAGAGTATCATGGGTGAATATGCTACAGCTAACGTCGTAACTGTGACTTTTGGAGAGAGGAAACCAATAAAGGTGCTACGATAATGCGGTTATCATGCTGTGATTGGGTAACGTAAGTGGAAAATAGACCTTATTCGACTTCGAATGAATATTACGGGGATATGGATCAAGATCCATGGATGTTCGACTGCCGATTTCATCCCATTTGTGGCTCGTCAGATTATACAATCCCCGGAATTGTAAGCGATCGACTTCCGATTTGAACAGTAGTTTGGCTGTATGTTGTACGCAGTCATATTGTTGGGATGGAAGATCGTAAGGAGTTCTCCGTACGAAATTCCAGGTTCCGTTCAGCTGACCGCACCACATTAAATTCCTTCGAGTCCACGCTCCGAGCAGATTGTTCATGAATAAACTAATTCCATTTTGTCGCTTTTGTTGGAGATGGACATTGAATACTATGAAGACCACTTGAAGTTCATGGAAGTAATGATGTATCTTATCGCCACACCTGACAAAAGATGAGCGATGTCAATGCCAATGTATAATTGTGCACAGTTTTCCAGTGTTTTTCTTTCCACCCTCCATCTGTCGTGTTACAGCTTTCTTGTATAGAAGCCTAACGAATCCGGCTTTCATTCTCTGACACATTAGCAGTCCAAAGGCAGTGGTCTACCAGTCACTGTGCTACAGCGTGTGGAAAACAATTAGGTACTGGGCTTTTTAAATAGCACTACATTCCCATCGCCAAACGATAAGCCTCTGTGATTGGTCGAGATGGTGCTTTCGAGATATCTCAGTGGTTAAGATACGAATTTACTGGCCAGGAGGTCCGTCGTTTGAGGATGCAACTCTAGTATCTCGATTGCCCCTTTCTAGGCTTGGGCAACCTGACAGTATTTCAGCCTTCGTTTTTCCTTTGAATAGAATGAAGCTAGGCACCGAAAGGGCCCTTCAGTCGAACGATCTATTATTATTATTACTATTATTAAGGTGGGCCACAGATTGTGCATACTCTACTGGACATGTAGTATTAGCAAAAAGAACGACTGTGTGTTGACTTGGATGAATGTGGCAATCAGTCTAACAACGGTGCGTGACCTCAAACAAGACCACCAACATGAGACTGCAGTTCGCCGGAGAAAAAGGATCAGTCATCATGTAACGTGACGCAATTTTATGTTGATGTCTGACCAGAGGCGCGTGTATTGGCGGGATGTGTAATTCCTTACCAGTCCTTTTTTGCATCGTTGAACATCGTTCTGTGTCTATATTCCTTGTAGTATGATACATAACTATAGGCACAGTCAGTTTTCACCGACATAACTTCACATGGGACTTCGTAGAGAGATGTAGGTTAGGTACCCAGGTAAGTGTAGAAGGTAGACAGTGAATAATGGCGGTATTATCACATGCATGCAGGATTGCACTGATGTGCAGTCAAATTCAAGAACAAACAAGGAAAAACAAAGCAGTCATCTGGAAAAATGTGTTGTATTGGGTGGAGTAGGCGTCAGCAGAGCCTTTTCGGGGCACTTTTATACAACTTCCGTCTGTTGAATTATTTCTGCCACAGCTTACGCGGTGCAAGCTAGCTGCATTCACTCGGTACCGTGATAAACAAACAGTCCTGCCCATCCCCTATGACATTGGATTGGACGTTTACTTGCTGAAGCCCGATCCAAACAATCCACAATCTGGGATCTATTTCTGCACCTCACTGCATTTTGTTGAAATGATCGCAAAATACGCACCTTTCCGCACTCTCTTTTCGAACGCAATACATACCACTTGGGTAACAATAAAAATTTGAACACCTCGCCCTTTGAACAACCTTCCTACGCCATCTTAGCACTCCTAATCGACGTGGTGGACTAACTGGCGCAGGCCTCCCAACCAAACCCGAACTACACTGGCGTGCTCGTGAATGAATATCTAAACGTATTTATGCAGTATACTCTGACAATAGACTGTTTTACCTGCCTATTTCATCTGACGCCACGGCGATGATCTGGCATGACCCGTTGTTCATACTCTAATGCGTGCTATATTACTTGGGTGGATGACATCATTGGTTTTTCGATGGTTATCAGTTACACGAACAACCAAAATATATTACCGTTTGTTTGCAAATTAATCCTGCGAGTGCTGTTTTAACAGTCATACTTTTTCGGAACGCTATTCATAAGATTGCTGAAAACTCTTCGAGAATCAACCTTATGAGTCTCGTGTTCCATCAAGAAAATGTACTGCGATATCCTTATTATCGTACCAAATGAAACATCAAGCAGCCTTTGTGCGACACCTTCAGTTGGATGATATTGCAACAAATATGTTCATTTGGGTTCAGTTGGATCTCCTTTTAACACCAATCTATGTCTTGGTTTCCTCTCATTTTTGTATGCGCTGGTTTGTCCCGTGCTAACGACATGTAGAAGCTTCGCTCTCATTACTTGTTAGCAAAAATCTCTCTTCATTCTTTCCACCCTCTCAGCTTTCCTGATCTATGCATCATCCGTGGCCATCTTAAATGTCTTACTAATTTTCGTCGCTGGTCCTCGAATCGGAAAGTCCAATCCACTGGTGTACGTTGTCATTAGTGCCAGTTTGGGTTCCATTTCAGTGATGGCCTGTAAGGGACTTGGACTAGCACTTCGAGTAAGTCTAATGCATAGTCAATTTAACACTGAAAAGGAACACTTGTGTTTTTTTTACGTCAGCCTATCTCCTTTTTGCACTTTTCACTCAAACGGCGGCTTCACTTTGGGCGTATCAACGTCGGGATATAAGTTCGATCCCCCCGCTGGCTCCATTGCACCAATTCAGTCCGAGAAACATCTCGCTGTGAATTTTTTTTACCAATCTCAGCTTGATAGTTTGTCAACCGGTTAGTCTGTTAGATGGATGTTGTTGAGTGACATACCTGAAGGTGCTATCAGGTCCAGTCAACTTTCCTTCTGATACGGCTAAGTGGATGACTGGGATTAAATGGGGTCTACCACTACTCACATTCCTATCACCATTTTACGTCTACTCGATTGTGTACTATATCCGATTGTGACATGTCAGATAGGAGTGCAACGACTCGTCCAGTGTGGCAATTATCGTGGTCAGTAGCCGCAAGTCTCCTTAGTCCACCGGATTCGTCTTCATACGAGTGCCGGTTTTTCTTTCTGAGAGCTTAGAGTCCTCGAATTGTTTCTTTTCTGGTTTGTTTACTGCGATGCTGGTTGACCAAACAATTGAGACGGGCCAAATTAGGTAAGAAGTGATTGTACGAACACGTGTTGATGGAACTGAAAAACATGTCAAACCAATGGTACATCAGGCATGGATTTAAGAGCTCAGTTGACATGGTCCGTGAATACACACAGAAAACAAGACGTGTGGTGGGAACTGCACACTAAACTTTTGCATTACCCTCTTAATACGGTTCAAGACAGAAGATCGAGTAGCCTTTCTGGGTGCTTTGATACAAATTTAATCTTGTTTCTCAACTAATAGCCGATTATCTGTATATCCAGGTTGTTGTTCGCTGCACACCTGTTCGACAGATGAGATAGAATGGTGATGGCAACCATCACGGCTCTGCAGTAATTACCCGGAAATTAGTCTGGTTGAGTGAGCGATCAAGACCAATTTAGGGTTTGGGTAGTCAGGATTGTATTTCTGTTCAAGCCTTCTCCCTATTCCTATTCTCTTCTTATTCCGGGGGGAGGGGCTCGAGGTGCGTAAAACCACAAAATTCCCTTTCCACTTGATTAGATGTCTCACAAAAATGGTTGGGACAACCTTATCTTCTACAGCAAAATAATATGCTTACCCGTAGATCCCGTGTAGCTCGGCAGCCCACTGTTGGCTACCTCAGCTTCTTATTTCCGCTCTACGTTAGACACTTGAAGTTTCAAACTCTGTTTTGCTTTGTAAATGTGATCACTCTATTCGGAAAAGCCGCGGAGCATTACAACTGCTTCGTTCTTGTCGGAACTCAGCAGCGTGCGTCACAAATTTCCAGGGTAATTCGACTGCGAAAACCCTAGGATAGGTTCTTGAACGCCCTACTCTTTAGCTACAGTTCGTTGAACATCAGTGGGACTAACGTGCACTCAGACAGCGCACAGTGCTAGTTACCATTCAGGGACCACAATCACGTCCAATTATCTGGTGTTTATTGACTCCTTGGGCGACGCTTTCCTTGGTAGCAGGCCCCTGTGGCTTGTGACTTATTTTTGCCTTTCCCGTCAGATATTCCTACAAAATAGGCTATAATCCTTAGAAAAAAATACCTCCAGGTTGACTGAACCATCACATTCAGACTCGTAGCTTGATGATCCAACCAACTCCGGATCACTTAATGTGAACCGTTCGACCAGAGTATGGGTGCCTCTATATCCTGCCTTAGTGTAAGCCAATCATCCTCTTGGTTAGCTATCCTTAGGCGGATGATATGGTGTTCAGATCCTTATCCAAAGTGTAGGTTCTCATCTCCCAGAAAATCATGGTGATCCCCTGGAGCATTTTATTTTTTCAGACCAAGTTGACTTTAGGCGTAAGCTGATACTGTCTAAGCTAGCACAAAGGTCTAGATACAAACTAGAAGCAGCGACTGGTGATTCGAATGCATCCCCGATTTATTGATTGTCCCGATTCTGTCTCGAACACAATCATACTCTCCTCCGAAATAGAGGTTCTTTATGTGTGCTTATGGTACGTCTTCAGTCCGGTCTATCATCAAGAATGTTGAGTAGACATGTATCGTGGGCCTATGTGAGTGAACGACTCCACCTCTGTAGATACCATATCTTCATTCTATCAACACTGATTTGAGTATTGGTCTCCGGTGAGAAAGTCGATATTTAGAAATCACTTGGATTGAATAGCAGTCACCCGCCGAAAATGTTTCACAGGTGAACAACATTTTTCCTCTTTTAACTCTATAATTCTCCTAGTTGACTTTTAGCATCTCGTGCTACCTGTGTATCGTACGGTAGGAGCACGTCGAAAGGGCACTAAACTAGGATTATAGTTTGTGGAGCGTTCAGTCACCGGCCAGAGGCTTCACCTACGACGCACCTATCAAATAAACATATTAAGATAAGGAACGTTCGACATTGTGCTTCAAGGTTCATTGGGTGCCGTTCACTCGTTCAGCATGTGTGCTCCATCCCATTTCTTTTTCAAATTTATTGATGACTGGAAACCGTGTGATTTTTAGTGACCTTATGCTGCATCTGTGGGTATCGCTGGTTCGCTGATGGATTGTTCCCTGCGATTGCTCCTCACTCCCAGACCTAGACAACATGTCCTGTTCGATGACTTTTTCAGAACAATCAGTATCGCGCAACGTTAGCACCAGGGACCCGCTTTTTCAGACAGTGCTGGATTCCACTAAGTTCTGGGGAATGTATCACATACATATTGCGTTTTATCATTCATTCCATCAGTCATAGTCTACCTGAGTCTTGCGTAGCTTATCTCATTCATCACTTGAGATTGAATCATTGAGACCTTGTTCGGTCACCCGCTAATCACCCGTTATGAGCTGTGCTGTCATATTATCAGGTTGTATACGTACGCGTTCTCACCGTCGTGCAGAAGTATTCGAGGTCTGTCTAGTACACAACAGCGAACCTACCTGGCTAAATATATGAAGGACTAGTTGGACAACCGTTCCCCAGTTTTGTGATACTCTCTAACTGATACACTCGGCTTCCCACCTTGAATTTGTCTTGTGATAATGATGAAAAAGCTATCCGTGAATTTCAGAGTCGTTCCAAAAAGTACACTAATTTGGCATGCTGAGCTTAACAGCCAATATGTAGACTGATTGTTGGGCAAGTACAATAATTCTTCCAAGAAGAGAATGGCCCACACGAAAGAATGTCGAACTAAAAATGGACTAATGGTGCGTGCCAAGGGTTTGCTACCCGACCACAAGCAGTATGCTCATCTTAAATACTTCGGTGCATCTATACTTTTCAATTTGGCGAAGAGATAGAGAGAAACTCAGTTGTTGGAATGTCGCACACAGCAACCAGCTTTATGTGAAGCAAACTTCGGTATTTGGTCCACGCCATCCACCAAGAAAATGCACACAGTCTGTTCGCCATCGGTATGCATGGTGATCTGGGTACATTTCCGATCGGTCACTCCATCTGACCACTTAATCGAAGCATTTTTTAGACCACTTAAGGCCAAACAGCTTGAGCGTTTTGATTGTGGTCTTCAAGTATGCTGTACTGTGTCTGTCATTTACTTTAGTCTATCATTCCAACTCAGGCTAATACACAATTTGTTGCCGTGCCTCTCAATTGCTCTTTTCCACTTGAGAACTTATCTAAGCCAGATACATGACGGACACAGTTTAAGGTAAGTGCAAAAACCACATTTCTTGCTCGTCCGAGCAATGGTGCGAACTGAGCTCGGATATGTGTTTGCGTTGGCTTGTTACGCTGCTTAAACGACTCTGTGCAGCATTTTAGAGCCTCCTTCACTAAGCCCATCGACTCACTATCTGTGGCAGTTATATAGCCAATGCACACAGCCATCATCGATTGATTTCAGCTCCCGATAGAACGCTCGAACGACGGATCGACTGTCGGTGTTCTGACGCTCGATAGTGCAGGTGGCTGCATTTCGGTTCACGCTTTATTGGTTTGGTGTCTAGTTGTGCCTTGACCTTAGATGTTAAAGTGCAGCTAGACGGCAAGAAGTTGCGCAGCAACTTGAGCCCAAACGATCGATCGAGACACACGGTGTCTCAAGGTATGACAAGGTCTCTGAATTAGGGCCAAACAAACTATGAAATCTCCGTATGAACATACAAACCATGTTTACGAGCATGCCGATCGTGAACCTTTTGCATTTTCTAGTATATTGTGCCACTCTGTCGCACTGTCGTAGTACCCTGCACTCCATCTAGGGTCCTGGAAATGAAATTTGGGACACTACTGTTCAGCTCTAACACCCTTTCGGTGCCTAGCTGCCATGCCATCCGAGGGAAGCACGAGTGTTAGGATACTGCCAGGTTGCCCAAACCTAGACAGGGGAAGTCGAGAGGCAGAGGTTGGGTTCGAACCAAGCGCCTTCCGGTCAACAAATTCGCGCTCTAACCACTTGAGCCATCTCGCTGGGACAAGCTGGGACAATCCTTGACAGCTTAGAAAGTCTGCAGCATAAAAACTTCGAGCATTGTGGACGCCTGCTAAGAGATAGGATGGATCGGCCGGAACTACCTGATTGAGAGGTTGCGTGTTACTTATGAAGTCTGAGTGTTACAACCCAATTTATTTTGGAAAGCACTAACGCAAAGTCAATGCAAAGGCTATCAGTGCACTGACGTAGACAAAAACGCTTTGAGCCTATTCGCCTAAGTCAAGTCTGATCACATCTGAAAAGTCTCTCAGCAACAGTAGATTGTGATAAGTACGGTTGTAGTCTCCACTAGAGGGTATCACTGTATCTATTTGGCCATTTTTCATATTTGTCTATGACGAACAGATGTTTCCTCGACACAGCGTTCCCACCATCTGATGGTTCATTCTGTAATGGCATCTTTCACTTGACCGAATGGGTATGCACGTTAACTTATTCCAAACACTTTGGCAGCAAACTTGCCAGTGACGGACAACAGTCACCACTCATTGGGATAGCTCTTTCCGTATTTCTAACGATGACCTAAATCGGTCCGACAACCTCTTCATCTCTATTAGCTTTTACCTGGAGCAGAAGGGGCTGGACGGAATTCCGATGTTTCGACCGATCACATGTTTGAAGAGTTACATGATTGGTATGGGGTGTGTCCGCCTGCTAACCGCTTTCCGACCTGAAGTCCTAAATGGAATCTGAAAGTTTGCACCCGCTGCTTTCAGTGGCTTTCATCTTGACAGCGTCCCCGAAGAAATCAAAACTAAATTAGCATCCCACTTACAAATGAGAATTGGAACTGAAGTAATTTCAGGAAACGGTTGCTGAGTGGGAAACAGTGTTTAGGTTGCGTTGCTCCCCCAAAGCCGAGAGAAGGGTCACTGTATCTTCATTTAGTTTTACTCACAGACCATTGGTGCATAATAAACTTCTGCACTGATCTATCAGGCGACCCGTTTTCTGTCGCATTTTAAGGAGAACTGTCTGAATCGTATGTTGCATGAAAGTCATTGAGCTGGGTCATTCTCCCGTGGGTGGCAGCCGTGGCAAAGGTTGGGTAAACGTAGTCCGCTATCGAGCGGAGCCCGGAGAGGGTGCATCACATTGTTTCTTGTTTTCAGAGGAGCTGTAGAGATGCGCGTCTATAATCTGCTATTTACACTACCTGGACTGCCTGATTTCCACAAGAAGATGTTTGACAGAAAATTCACCAACTGTTGGTGCACAACAATGGCTCCCTGTATCCATTGTTATATTTCAACAGAATAAATTTCGCACCCTCGTTTTCTCTTTCCTACTGAGTTGCCTTGTTAACTTACCTCATAGGAGATACAACTTCTCGGTTTGTGGGGACTTTTAACGTACTGGTTTTTCTGGCTACTGGTCATCCTTTTGGCCTTCGGAATATCGATTCAGCTCTACTTTTTGAATCGTGCGCTTGACATATTCAACACTGGACTAGTTACCGCGTTGCTGTACGTGTTCTTCACCGTGTTTGTCCTCGTCGCCTCGGCTATTCTCTTTCACGAATGGGTCACACTGAAAGCAGTGGACTACTTCGAACTCATCTGCGGCATGTTAATGATAATGACTGGTGTACTCATGATGACCGTGCTGAAGGTAAGTGAAAAACAATAGAGCAACAGGCCTTACATACTCCGTGGTCTTCTGGGGTTCGAGTTACTGTATCGTGCATGTGTTCCGGATCTAACAACAGGAATATCCACGGACCCGGAACATATTTGTCTATCTTTTACAAATCCTCTCCATTGTTTGACTCAGTTACTAACTTCTCCCATTACTGTGACCTCTCATGCCACCCGCACCGTTCCTGGCCGTAGCCGGGTGACGGGTGTTACACTCGTATTATGCGTTAACGTAGTTTGTTCGCTGAACTTGTAAGAGGTCGCTAATATTCTTAACTTCTCGATTGGGATTTTCAGATTGGCCGCATCGGGTTAGGTGGTTACCGAATTGGATCATTTGCCCTTATTTGCTACCATGTCCTTTGACTTTGCATGCTGCTAGTTTGCTTTCCGTTGGTTGTTCAGATGTTCTGAGGCTTGTTGGATTAGGCCAGTAGGATCACTGACAAAATTAGCAGCCATGGAATACTTTTAAGCCACGCCAAAAAAAAACACTTTTGTAGACTTCTCGTCGGAGAGGGTAAGAGTGTGTATGTCACCTTCCAACACTTTTGTTGACACCGTGACACCCACCTGCTCAAAAATAGAAAAACATATATTGCCGTATTACAGTACATTCTACTTTATGAGATAATAGTGCCACGCTTCGGACACGCACAAAAACCCTGAGCCCTTGGTCGTTGACGTCTCTGAAAGCATATGATAAATCTGGTGGAAAAACCGGCCGAAAATGTTGAGCTACGTCAGTTCGCTATAGAACGATTTTCCGCGATTAATTTAACTTAGTAGGTCAAGCTGGGTACTCTGTGTGATTTTTGTATCAGAAGGTTGTCTGAGCAACGAGACCCTTTCCAACCAATCCCTTGAACGGTATAAACTATCAAACGGTTACATGAAACACTAAAGTCAGTGGACAAACTACACGAGGATTTGTGATTCTGACACACGTCTAATCAAGCACTTAATTGCGTTCGTACATCTGAATTATCGTTTCGAGTTCGGTGTAACTTTCGCTGTATCGGAGAGTTATGACGATCCAGAATTAGTTCATCCATCGCTTCTGGTGAGTGACAGTCCCTCCCTTATTCAACGCCAGCGAAGAATACTGGTGCTTCGGTGCCGTGTGGCCATTTCAATTCATCTGGTAAAAGCACCATAATAGAAGGACGAACAAATGGGACAGGAAGGGGGACCTAGCCCTCCACAAACATTCGAGAAGTGTACACCTCCTGCTCTCAGTCAGATAACCTGGACAGGGACTAACAGCATAACCGCCGCTGACATCGGTTAATCTTCCGGTATCTCCAGCCGCATACAGGGCGTGTCACGTGAACCTCATTGTGGAAGACAAACAGCATTCAGACTTTTCGTTCCACTCCTCATCTTGTCATATTTTGTCCAGTTTTAGGTTCCCACCACTCCGAAGTGGGTGCGACAAACAACGATCTTCTGAGAAGACGGTAAAACGACACCCCATAGCCATCTCAACTCGCAGAAGTAAATACATTCCTTGGGTGGATTCCGTGATTCGAGCCAATCACGGCGCATTGCCCAGCATAGCTCCAAGCCTTGATCGACGACTAAATCATTCCCGAACTTCTGCTCAGCAGAAAAATAAGAGGCTGATTTCGGTTACCTTAGGACGTCATCAGTTTTAGTTGGTTACGTGAAACATGTATAGACTCATGCTGTGTTGGTGACGCCCAATAGGTTAAAATGAATGAAGATCGTATGCCTGTTGTCGTTTGGTAGGTTCCATGTCTCATGCTAATCGATTTGTTGGTTGATTTATCTCCAGAGGTCACGCTTCTTTTTATTGCGAGATAAGTTCATTAAGTTCGGTTGGTTCACGTTTCTCATTTCATTTTGTGTGTGTGTGTGTGTTACGGTTCGAAGTTGCCAGTTCAGTTACGTTAAAATTGACTTGTATGTTCAGATTCCATTTATCATTCAGTTGACCTAATAAATATAGTGGGCCCACATTTGACATCTCGACCGTATCCTGTATCCAGTATTGGGCTCTTGGTAACGCCATGCAACACGGGGTAGTTGGAACACTCCACCTTGGTTTCTGATGGGCTTTGTACGTAAGACAGGCCATGACCTCACCATGCCTATTAAAGGTGTTAGTTAATTTTTGATAGCCAGATAAAGTTGATTAGATGATAACTGCTCAGCATGTGGGGACCGGTATTCAGTCGTTTGCTTCTTTAACAGTCAGTGTGAACGTTACCAATCGTCTGTGTTGGTTGCTAAGATGACGCGACATCTAATCATCAAGATATGACCAATCCAGTTTACAACCATCTAACGAGTCCCACTGAAAACGAGAGATCTCGATTAGCACTCTTTCCAGGGCCTCCGGTATAACTACGATGTTCAGTTACCTAGTTAAAGCTCCGCGAACTTTGTACCTATGCAAATCTAGTCTGTTTATCTTCGTTTATTTTCGACTAGAACATGAATGGACATGGAAGGAATCCTTCATTCAACTTCGATTTTCTCCGAAAGCGTGCACCGTATAGGGACTCGTCTAAAGAAAACCTTTTACGATCGGGATCTGCATCGACAGACAGCGATTCGGATGATTCACAGCACAAACAGCATAAACCACAGTCAGATTCGGCGAACAGTCTAGAATCCCTTTCTTCTCTCTGGAATTCGCCTGCTTGAATTCAGTCCTTATGCATTCCAGTACTTGGATTCTTTCCTCTCCTGGCACATGTCTGTTTATCCTAAAGAGCTGCGTCTTGCCAACCGCGACTGACGCTTCTGCATACACGGAGTGACTAACGTTCCGTCGTTTTGTTCAGATTCGCCTCCCTAACATCATTCTCTGCCCTTTTCAGATTATCTAAAAGACCGACATTGTGTATTTTGACAATCCCTGTCGCCCTTAGTCCTGAAATGATTTCACGAGATGACCCTACGGTTAACTGAGGTTCGTCATTTCTACTCTTCCCGATAAATGCATTTTTAACACCCGATGAATGAACTAGTGCTTTCTAAACAAACCTCTTTTGCCTATTCCCTGGGTCTCTCTCATTTCTTGTCAGTGGTAACCTAATTCGGCTCAGATCACAACTGTAAAATTTTAATAAGGTTTCTAATTTGTGTCCCTTTGGAACACTGATCAAAACAACTTGATAGATTATACTACCTCCCGTGAACGACTACTGACGTGTTGCACATCTAATCACCTAACGCATCGATCCGGCATGTGAATGGTTCCAAAGAACAAACAGCATTTTGCTCTGTTTGCATAACAAAGTCCACGAATTTGTGTACTCGTGGTGATGCCAACAAATATCCGTACGCGGCGCCACCAGCGAGATGTTCCAGCTACTCATTGATTTAAGAAAGCAACACTAGACTGTGGTATTGGCTGCCGTCAATGGCACATGTCTAGTCCTCTTTGGACCAAGAACAGTTCTCGATGTTCACATTCTTGGAGTAAATCGTTCGTCCATGTGGCCATCAAACAGACTTCACCTCAAGGGATTTGCATAATACAGCTGATGAAATATATCCAACTCCTCGACAGCTTCTGGCCGTTCAGAATGACCTTCAGCCGGTCCCATCAGTGCGTCTTGTCCGTTGTAATATCTTCGTTATTCATCATGTTTTCCCCCAAAAGACAGATATACTTTACAGGTGTGATGGATTTCCAATAAGTGACATGAGACGGAAGCTAGTTACGCACCTATGATTTGCCGTTGTTCCAACTGACTCGTGTGACCCGCATCGGGACGAGTGAACGAGGGATTAGCCATCCTTTTTGAGTGAATAATACATGGATAATGTGACCATGAATACTGGATGTGACATTGTAGTTCTTTGGTATCTTCATCGTACAGAGTAATCAACAGTAAGATAATATGTCGAATAAATAACTCACAAACTATCGTGATGTGAACAAACCGGCATAGTGTGCCAAGATCAAAATCAGAAGCACCTGTCGGGTTATGCACCCCTCGCATTATAGACCAAACCTGAGTAGACCGTTTATCGGACCGTCTATCAGCTTACTCTCCGTTAAATTATTATCAGGCCTACCACGCATGGGGTACGAAGGCCACGACCAACGGACTCGTCGCCACCTCAAGCGTTTTGACTGGCCGTCTTGGACCAAAGGAATGTTATGGCACCTTTGCAACTCTGGGACGAGCATAGTGGGGACAGGGGTCAGGTTACCTTTGCAAACGGTTGGCACCGTATCACATTACCTTTTTTGCCTGTGTAAGACTTCATTAGTTGAGATTCGCTTTATAGTGTCGATATACACGTCCAGGCCATATATCTGCAATCAACGGTATGGGGTTAGATGCCTAATGGATAGTTAAACACTGATTAGAGAGAGTGGAGAGCACGATTATCAAGTGATACCAGCCCTACAATAATCGGACCAGTAAGCACATCAACGGTCAATATCTTCACAATTCAAGGCCCACATTTTCTGTGGACCCACGAAATTCCTCGGAGGAAAGAATTTGCTTCAGCACGTTGTCCAATGAATGTCCCATCATTGAGCCCTAGTTAAACCTTCAAACAGGGTTGTCAAGCTAACAGGTGGCTAAATCATGCAATTGTTTGAATACATAGTTCTCCTGTTTGGGAGTCTTCAGTTACAGAGAGCAGTGCGTGTTTTTATGGGATTAGCTATTCCACGTCGGCCGCGCTAGAATCATGTCGTCCTCCGCCATTCTTCATTCCCGAACGGTTCTAATTCAAGCGCTAAAGTGTATTGGTGTTCACGCTTGCTAATTTCGACAGCTGTTTGAGGACACGGCTCTACTCCGGTCGGCATCGTCGTTCTCCCAGATGAAATTGTGAAATGTATAGGAAGGGGGAACTCGGTCAACTTTCTTGACGTCTGTGGAAAGGCATTAATACGCCGGGCAATCCACTGCGGGAATGGACTGATACTTCTACGCAAGACCACGAATCCTCAAAATTCTCAAACCATCATGCTCAATGGGATATGCCCGAAGTGGGAGAGCATGTTGTCGAAGGGTTTTCCGATAACCTTGTGACGTTTCCTTTAAGAATTCACTTGCGGAGAAGGCATTTTTACCTGGTGTCTTACTGAACAGAAATTTCGTTTATCGGCGACCTTAAAGGGGTCTTGGTCCTTGAAATATTTTATATTGGTGTTTTCCTGGTGGCTGTGTGAGGGTAAGTAGAACCGGTGATGGTCGAAGTACGCGAAGCTCTACCAAGTTTCAAAGAAGGAGGATCGCTCAGGGCAAGAGATGAAGTGAAGAGGCGTTAACAGTACCTCAAATGGTAACGCTGAGCACTGCACCTGAACAGGCTGGCCACTGCTTTGTGCATTTGGTCTGTACTTATCCACCTCACTTGGTAACGTATCTAGAATTGAGCTAATCTGACGTTAGGCTCAACCAAACGGATGAAAAATACGAGCATACGCAAATGTGTGCTTCGTGCCATGGATGACTTCAACAAAAAAATCGTTCAACTGTAGCACCCTTTCGGTGCCTAGCTGTCATGCTACCAGAAGGAAAAACGACGGCTGGAATACTGCCAGTTTTCCTAAACCACGACAGGGGGAGTTGAGAGGCAAAGGTCGGGTTCGAACCACGGGCCTTCCGGTCAGTAAATTCGCGCTCCGACCACTGAGCCGTCTCGCCCACTTCAACAATGCAAAAGCTTTTGCAGACAAATACCCATACACCGCTACATCACTACCCAATAGGGACGTAAGCTCAATTGGTAAGAAGATATTTTCAACACAAGTGTTAACCTCTGTGACTAATTTAACTAACAAAAGTTATTCTTCGCTTCAAAAGAGCCTCAGCGATTTCAGTCACGTCCTGTTTGATACTGAATTTACCATTGTTTACTTCCGTGTTGCAGTACATAGTACGACTACTCACCCTTTCCCTCAATGGGTTCCTCAACCTTTCTGAATCCGCTCCGCCATAAAAAGAGCACCGTTACATTGCGTGATTGTTTTACCGATTAGACTTGTTTTTTACACCTGATGATCATAGTCCCAACAACGACATGCGGTCAAAGGGTTGTAAGGTAGCCGCGGTACCCCGCTACGGAAATGCTAGAAGTAATCTGTTATCTGTATCCACAATCCCTTTAAAACAAAAGCTGGGAGTGTCAGGAGCTAACCGAATGTTAAAACAGAACATCGGTTTCACTGGGTCTCATCAGACGCAGGTTGTGCGTGCGTGTTCCTGCAAGCGCCAAATACAAAAGTGACCACACAAGACCAAGCACTTTGCCTGTGCTAGTTGGATCATTTGGAATAGTGGTTCTTAACCTGAATGCGCTCACCTCATTGAGGTATGAGATAGATCATCCGGTGGAGATGGCAGTCGGTTTTCTTCAGGAACTTGCGAAAGGGTTGTCGGACTTAAAGCAATGATAACCTGTTTAGAGGAACAACATGCTTAAGCCAAAAAAAGCGCATCATCTAGAATTTGAGACTTTCTGAGGAATACCTGACAAACCCGGGTGACTTGTCGTTCCGTGTATCCAGTCCACTACTACACGTCCTGAGTTATCGGTATGCCATTGAGTTTTGCCAAGAACGTTTAAAAACATCACGAGCTTGGATCGTTGAACACTGTCAAACACCGTCTAATTTTCAGTGTGAGTACAAGGATACCACACGAAGCTATTGACGTTTGCCACTCCACAAGTCAGCACTTTAAAGTCACCCAGAAAACCTCGTTGTTGCCCGTTTTTTCAGGAATGAGATACAGCTACATACCGTGACAATGAGGAGAAAAGTATATTGCGGAGAGGCAAAGAGACAGGAGACCGGAACACGTTATCATGTGTATTCCAACAGGTATGCGGGGAAAGGAAAAAATAATAAACAACAAGCCATTTAACCAGTGAAGGAGAATTGTTTAGTTGAAGCTCGCCATTCAGAAGTGAGCATGCAGTCGTGGATTCCAGCAAACTTTTCACGTCTCCATCACAAAGATCCTGCCCTGCTGGTGACAACGATCACCAAACAACTTATGTGTAACAAGGTTTCCACCGAACGGCTACCATATGCGTGATGTCCCCAGAGTGACCTTGAAAATTCCTCACTTGATTCCATCACCACTTATTTTTAGGTTGTTACGACTGTCAGTAAAACACGTGACGTTTATTTTTAGCTCGATTTCACAATTGGACGGCATCGTCCTGATGACAAGTTGTGATGAACGACAAATATGGCACCGAAATTAAGCATCACTTGAAACTATGTTTACCCCTATTTTTTTATTACCAATTCCAGCGAGCGTAACCTAATCAGACAGAAGAATGACGCTCTGTCGATAAAAACAAAAAGTACATAACATCAGTGTTCAACACTGATGATTTGCTACCGTACAGTCATAGTTCATTTTATAGCCTTTTTGCAGAGAATAAAATTGGGTGGATTCTGAACCCACTGCTAGCCTGTCACAAAGATTATGGGGTGCCTACTCCTGAAGACGCTCATTCAGGTAACCTGGATTGAAACCGACAGCTGACATCACTCAGCAGCTATCTCATGAAGTGACTCCAACCAAGCACATTGAAGATCACTAGAGCCTCATCCTGTAAGGCGAGTCGCACCGGTAGCGCCCAGGCTTTTCATAATCCCTTTCATGCCTCTATCAGATCAAAGGGTGTCCAGCACTCTACTTGCACCACTCTAAATTGGGCACGGAAAACAATACTCCTTTCATGAAACAACGAATCGGCGTGCGCACTCTATGGCGTAACCTCCGGAGCTTTCGATGGTGGACACAATCCTTGACTAAGGTCCCCGATGCACATTTTTTTCTGACTGCCTAGTTCTGGATTTGTAGACGCCGACACACACAAGCTATGGTTCTGAGATAGGGGTAATCAAGGGCCTGAACATATCTCAGTTCTACTGCTCGCCCAAGCCACGCCTCACAGCCGTACAGCAAAACAGTCCATGTTGTAGCGTGATGCACACCCCTTGAAATTCAGGGAAATGCCACTTTGACGCCACAGATGTCTCAAGTTAACAAACATGAGCCGAGCCTTCAATAGTTAAGCATTAAACATCCAAGATACATGTCATAGATTGCAACCTGTTCACCATTCTCAATTCAATTTCGGTGACTCTTCATACATGTTTGACTCTCCACTGATTTCCGTCAGTTTAACCCTTTCCGAAGACTCGCCGATTACTAGTCAATCAATTCGTGACATATCCGACAAACTTCCGTTTAGCTGACCCGCATAGACGAAATGCGACATTGCGCACTTAGCACGTGGCAGTTCTCTTCCTTAAACAATTTTTTTCTCTTGAGAACACCACCCACGCAGTGTCACGCATTATGGACTGTTTTGTGTCACTTACTGTGGAGCTGTCAAAGAGAGTATTTTTGGAGGCTGTCACGATGGTGCAACCGTGGAAGTCCAATGTACTGTTCGTCGTGCTGAGACTTCACCCAGACATTACTTGTTCAGGTGAAGTTTGTCCTGCTGCATAAGTCATGGCTCTGAAGTCAGTGAACCCATCACCAAATCATGAGCAATATTTTAATATTTATAACTTCATAGCTCAAACATTGACTCAAGATACTTCCATGATTTGAATTCAGTGAACCCTCGAAATTTGTCCGCTCGAAAAATAAGTATAAGCAGTCAGTTCTAGAATAATTAGATGACTTTGGGGCGTATATTAATAGCAGTGAAGAATTCTCAGCCCAGTGTGAATCCATGTGGCATTTCGGGGCACAGAAGGGAGTGAAATTATAAGCCACAAGTCCTGGTCGAATAAAAGATGCAATAGGAGGCAGTGCATTGAAGGTTAACTCAAAAACTATTCCAACTCTTTAGAGTACATTTTTGATCTAGTATAATGCTATCTAATTGGCTATATGAGGCACAGTACAGTTTCATTATCATATTCGAATATCCAAATAGAAAATGTGCTTCCTTCAGATTTGTAGGCCAGCCAAAAATCTCCCCTGCACATTTCGGGACGCCGCCCCTTCCACAACTTCTAACACACCTTCCTATCTATCAAAATGTTTCATTTGAGCTGTGGTCCAACAACCGCTCAGTCGAATTATGTGTGAAGGAACATATTCTCGCAAGTAAGTAGGCTTGAAACCGAACTTTCCGTCTGAGTGCTTTGCGCTTGCTGTCTCGGAATGTTTAACTATATAAATCCTGGCTGGTCACGACCGAAAAATTATGAGGCCACCGATAAGGCACCGTATAGATTTTTTAATTTGCAGATGGTGATAATTCCCTGGCGCTTTGTGGTGCCCCCCATTTCACAGTCGTACAAAAGAACTGTGTACAACTAGCGGCTTTCTGATTCCCCCTGGAAATAAATGCTTGATGTGGCCCGGTATCAGGTCCTAACGTCATTTGAAGGCTTTATATATAAAATTGAGTGCACATTCTGGTCGTACAGCACCGAGGTATCGGTGTCAATACTGATGTTCAGTCTCTGTCTCTCTGATGGCCCTGTCAATTCTCTGTTGATTAGCGTATTAGAAAAGAAAACGAAAACAAATCCTGAACTGAAAAACACCTGCTTTATAGGTCCGTTTAAGCAACTCGCTTTTAGGCCAACTGGTATTTAGGTTAAAATATCCAATTAATATGATGATCCACCTGCCTTTGTACGGCTGTGGTGCTTGGCCCTAAAAAAAGGAAACCTGCGAATGGCGAGATGCTTTCCAAACAGTAGTCAACAGATCATAATGTCAGAACGTATGGTCGTGCTCCTACTATCTATTTGTCAGCTCAGTAACGCCGGCCATCTTCTAGCTCACCCAAGGTTGTCTATTTGTATACCTGTAAATTTTCATGTTGTGGGGGACTTTCACACTCGTATATCAACAAAGTCCGCTTATATCATTTACGTTCCGTTGTCCTCGTCACTCCCTTGTCGTCTGTGAGTATTGATTCATGAGTTCAGCAGTTATTTGTCGGTAATGAACTCATCGTTGTCATTCACACACAAATGCTGGTAAGACGAACAGCATTCGTTTTTTTGCATATTTCGTACTGAAGGTCACTGATATGAAGGCAGGAAAAGCTTTGGAAAATAAAGCAATGAATTTCGCTTGGTTAAGACAGCTTGTAATAGGTCGCATGCAAATGAGGGAGGAATTGGCCCACAAGCACCTATTCTAGGTCTTTGCTTGGTGACAGTAAAACTAGTCACAATGGGACGGAATCATGATTCTGAAGAGAACTATTTTCGTTCACCATCTCAAACAACCTGTGCATTTTCCATTTTCAGGTTATTTAAACCTAGACTGGGAATGAATATTAAGAATTAGCTTCCCCTTAAATATCACACAATTGATTCACTGTGCTGTCCCTAAAAATCAAAAGTTCCATCCACTGAGGAATCAATTTCTCGATCAGCTTTATTTCAAAAGGCCATGACCTGTGTTACTGCGAGTACTGACGAGATATGATATTCCATTCGTTTGTTGCCATTTTCTACTTTTTTCGTTAAACCTTCAATTAGGACTAATTCCGTTGCATCTTGATGCCAATACATTTTGATGCCATGAGTGGTGACACAGTGTCCTTTTGTCCCAAAAGACCTGATTCTCTCCATACAACGCTTAAGCTTCCAGTCTGCAGAGTTACACTGATGGATTTTTGGAGAATGTCCAAACTCCGAGTAAGAACCTGAAGCTCGCCTTTATTGGACTTGTTACTCCAAAGTGTCACAAACGTATGGGTAGACGTGAGTGACCCCATTGAAATGAGCCGCTTTGCCAGATTCATCTGTTAAATTTTCCGATAAGAGGTGTGCTTTTTAGATAAATCCATTTTTGCGATTGGTCAGTTTTGTGATTAACCACTGGTTACACATTCACGTGTCCCAGAATATTGGAGTACTTGGATCGATAGTGGTCAGTCTAACCGTGGACATTGCTGAATTAGATGGATGGGATAACACCCTGTGGTACTGATCCGATCTTTCTCTGAATAGTGATACTGTTGTGAAGATTGTCATCCCATTGTACACACTGTAAGATTATTTTATTAGCAGTGGAGAACCACTCTAAAAGCGGAAAAGTCCTGCAAAGCATTATTGAGGAACGTACCTATTTGCAAACTTGATTCCCCAAAACTCATCTGCACTGCTCACTTTCTACTTAATCCTCCTGAACTATTGTTTGAGCTGATAAACGCAAAATTCACTTCGTTGGCTCATGGTAACGAGGACATTCAGATACACCCTCATTCTTGTGCAATTACTTTAGTCCATCCACCAATATTCAACAGGAAGCATAGCGCTTACAAAAGCAGGTTAACTAACCTGGTGAATACGTGCTGATTCCCTGAGTGGACACCATCAACGTCGTGAAACTCATCTACTAATTACACAGGACAAACTAAATCCACGGGTGATCTTCTGTCGACTATCGAAAAAACGGGCATTTTGTGAATGAAACAGCGAGTACTATTTTCCATCATGAATTCAAAAATACTAAGCTTGCAGAAGTGATTATGCAAATTCATTGTTCACTTCAAGTCATTACTCTGCATCAGATTTGACTCATCCCGCAATCAGCCAGGATGCAGAAAGTAACAATTTATTTAATCTGCTTAATGTTGTAAGGTAAAGTGTTCTGGCCACAACAACAGAATTCTCGCGTAAAAGGAGATCGAATGACTCATCTATGGAAGCCAAGCTTGTGTTGCTAACCGGCTGGAACAGTCGATCTACATCTCTAGTACCACTGTATCAGTGATTCGTCAGCATCCCTTAATCATCAGAGTGGATCACTTTTAGAGACCACTGCTGACTCACCCAGCCAATTTGACTCCAAGCTGTGTGCAGCTAGTGTGCCATGTTCTTTCAAGAACCTGCGCATGGTGCACTTCATTTCAAGTGCAGTCATCATAGTACCTGATTAAAAGAAGCACTTCAACGAATCTTATTTTTAGCGACTTATCTACCTCCAAATGGAGTGTCTATACTAAGGCCAACCAGATAAAAGTACAGTTCCTGAACAGCATTTATTCTAGATCATCAAGTGGGTGTAAGTGAGTCACGTGTTTCTTTGGCCAGCAGTGCCAAGCAAATGACTCCGGGATCACAAGTCCATAATAAGACTCATACCCAAAGCTTTTCGTTAAATTATAAGCTCTTGGACTGGTTGGTGCCAGGTTACACTTACGGTTTGAAAACTGGTCTTAGAAAATATATGATTATTCCCCACTCTTTGAATTTCTCACCTCAATAGCAAGTTAGCCAAGGAACCATCTCCAAGTTACCCAACCATCAGAAAGTTTTGGTGTATTCTTTTGACAATATCCAGTTCGAAATGTTCTTATCTAGATTAGCTTATCGCATTGAGTTCTGGAGGATCTGTAGGAGTTAAAACTTCAAAAAATGTTGAAAAAAACACGAATTTGTTATCTGAAGAGTTAAAACGCCATCACCTATCGACTGGTTCAACCTTCCATACACCTAACATAGCAGATCGGCTCGTCACAGGACGCAAGCGCTATTTGTTCTCGCCATGTACTCATTATGATACATCGTTCACAGTATGGTCGTGCTACTGGTCAGATTCAGAGCGTTTAACAGAGTAAGTATCGTGACCTGCATCAGCATAGCCATTGATCAATACGTTAATTTCGGACCCACCTACACTAATGGTTTGAAATAACTTGTGTTAGTCACATATAACAGGCTACAACGAATGTATCAGCCAATGGGGATGTGCAGGCCCAATGATTTTAGCTTATCTTCTGCAGGCGGATCGATATGATAAACAATAGGAAGAAGGAAATACATAAGTTGAACAACAGCACTAGTTCCACCAAGGTGGACTTGGAAAATATAATCGTTATGCTTGATTCGCCCACTCGGTATGACCTTCAGAACGCTCGTTTTAAACCGTCTTAATTATGTAGGCTGAATCAGATATTTAGAATTAAACCTGTTGGTAACGTGACGCAATATATTTCACTGAAATTAAGTAATATAGTTATTTGGATATTAGTCCATTCTTGGATAAGCCAAACCCAACTCGATTTACAAACGATGGCGCCATGAATGTTCGCAAACGAGCAACAGTATACTGAAACTCGATGACGTCATATCAGGGAAGTGTTCCCGAACAGGGAGGGGGGCTGTTAGATTTTTGGAAGAACCTGTTTGCCTTATTGTATTTCTTGTGTTGTGTTTCTTAAGGAAAGTTCCAAAACTCCGCCTGAAATACATGAATCTAGTTTAGGTTCTTATGAATATAAACGAGTTAGTTAAGAACAAGAAAGTTTGATGAATGTGGAAAAGGATGGCTAATAGCTCTATCTCGTATATGTTGATCGTATCCGTAAAGTTCGACACTACTTTGGCGTCAGCTCCAACCAAGACAGTTTTAATAACGGATTTCACTCAAAAGTGTTTAGTAAACCAGAACATTGATGCTAAGTTCAGTGGTAATTCCATCGAACCGAAAAAATTCATGCTAGTTGTGGGTGCAAAACAGAGTAACTGGTTTTTCGCTCTGATGCCACTACCTCTATAATAACTCTTTGGAATGTATCATTTTGTGTGAAAGTGTCAATTTCAGTGTTTTGGGCACAGCAGTTAATCCAGTGCGGAGATAAAAAACAAAAAAAACATAAGTCCACTGCATTCTCAAAACTCTCCATCAAGTGCGTTTTCTTGTGCCATTGTGAAATCATTCTATTCAGATTAAAGCCCGAAACTTTGCAAACAAATTTTGTTGACGATATTCCCATGTTTGCTATGACTGGTTTCTTCACAACATCAATCAGTTGGCACCTTTCGAACATCCGATCAACACGAATTAATTTGTGACCAGGTTTAACATAAGCAATGTTAACTTTGGAAACGAGTAAGTCAGACACAAATGCAGCAACTTTTTCCCTATTTGTTTATTTATACTAATGTGGAAAATTCTTTGTGAGGACATCCCTTGAAAAAGGATTGCAACCATTGATACGTGAATCTTCCAACGAGACAGTTCAAAGACGCTGGCTTGGTATTTCACGACTGCGTTTATACTAATGTGGAAAATTCTTTGTGAGGGCATCCACTGAAAGAGGATTGCAACCATTGATACGTAAATCTTCCAACGAGACAGTTCAAAGACTCTGGCTTGGTATTTCACGACTGCGGTTAGGCGTTTGAAACAGGAATTTAGAGTCAACTTACTTTTTTCGAACCAGAGTCAGGGGGCCAGGTGGCTCATTTGTTAGAACGCGTATTTACTGAACTAAAGGTCCGTGGTTCTACCCCGACTTCCACCTTTCGCCTTCTCCTGTCTAGGCTTGGGTGACCTGGCAGTATCCCAACCCTCATGCTACCTCTGGGTGGCATGACAGCTAGGCATCGAAAAGTTGTTACAGGTGGACGATTATTACTTATTATTTTTATTGATTTATAGTCAGTACACTTCATCTCCCTGTGAGATGCGTGTCCTCTGATATAAATCATCTGATAAGTCTTCACCTCTCCAGTTTCAGGGGAAACCCGGAAAATCTGATTCAACACTGGTGCACCACGAACCCTTCCGTCTACGAAACGCTGCGCCATGTAAGACGACTTGGTGACACTATTCTCCAGATCTCCTACTGTTGAGAATTGGAACAAGCCGGTCATGGTAGGCTCATAGCTCATTGAGAATTACAGCTCTCAATTCTAAAGCCGACTGTATCAGTATGAGATCATGAACTTTGCATGATTGACTAGAAGCCGACTTTGTGACTCAGTGTTGTGTTTTCATCTCAAGTCGAGCAGTATCTTGAAGATTGTGAATCCTGAAGTTTTCTCCGATCCTGATCAGTACACCTAATCCTACGTGACGTTGAGCGCATCAGAACCCTCCGTAATCGAATGGCCATTTGCTGAGGCCACTATAGGGAAGCTCTCTGGTGAATTTGTATTTCTCTCAGACTGCGAAGCTATACTAGTCCCTGTTATATGTCTTGCTCGACAGAAGAACTTCCTCATAATTTCTGGACTCACGTGAAACGGATCAAAGCGTGGAACGGCAACACAAGGTCACTTTTGTTACAGAGGTGTTATTCATGCCATATGAACGGAACATCTGTACACGTAAGGAAAGTTTGTTGTCACCTTTATGGGCATTTTGACAAGTTCCTATGAGACCAATAATACCTGGTTTGGTAAATTGTGAGGATTAAACAAAGATGAAATTTTAGGGAATTTCTATGCCTTTCCCGACAGTCAAAGATTTTGTCACGCTTTAGACATGCGAACCCAAATTTACCGAACAGAGTGGACAACGCAAGTTCGGCCTTCAAGCGGCAGTCGAATCTTATGACTATTAAGTGAATGCTGAAGTAACTCCAGTCTTATCTTCAGTGGGAAGAATTTTCATTTCCACGGGGCACCGTAAATAGTAGGTGAATAGCCATAGTCATAAAGTTTATCCTAGAAAATTGCATACCTAAATCACCGTGGCCAGGGAGACTGCGTATTTGTAATGATTTTTCTCAAGAAAACGGTCTGCAGTGCGTTAGAACGAAGCAGCCTTTAGGAATAACGCAATTACTACCTATTTCTTGACGCCCCTTCCAAAAACGCAGTTGTTCTGATGCTTCTATACAGCACAATTCTACTAAGACAATCCGTGAGACAGAGTTACATCTTTTAGCGGAAAATCAAACATTTTTATATGACATCTAACAATTATTTACCAAGTTTAACGGAAAACGAAAATATCGAGAAGTGAAGAATTAGTCAGTGAAAGTAAACGGATTATCAGCAGTTCTTCCGTCTTCATCTTATTTATGCTCCAGACAATCCCACGAACCTGAAGAAAATTTTTACACTGACTTCCTAATACAATCTCACTGGGGGAAGGTCTCGGGAGAGGGCAGGAATTGGTGCCCGTATGTTCTGTTTCCGAATAGGCAGGTTACCAGGTCTGAGTTGCGGAGATTCTTGTTGCCGGTCACAACCACGTTCAAGGCCGTACATATGTTGATTGGTATTTAACTCCGAAAACTGAGTGAAAGTAAGTAATATTGATATTGCTTTGATTCAGATGTTATACTGCTGTTTAGTAGCGTTCACACTGCTGGATCGAACGAGCTGGCTCCTTCCAAGAGATATGTATAGCTGATGTACTTGGCTTGTTTAGGGGCTTGTAAGTAGCCAAACTGTGGCTCCAAAAATGGCCTGGGTTCATAATGAGGGCGTGCGCAAATGTATGGCGGTAAACGGCAGACTGAACGCAGCTCACGTCAATGATGCGGTATAGATATTGTTTGCGTTGGTTGGTACGAACCAAGTTCGTGTACAAACGAGAGAATTTGTCGAATTCTCGCTAGTACTTTGTGGAAGCCAATACTTATAACGTTTTGTGTCAGACTCAGTAAACTCAGACAGACATATTGCGTCAAATGGAAGCCGTAGTACATGACTTTCTATATAAACACTGCGAGCACCTAAACACGTGGGGTTCACCCATCGATTCGTGTATGTTAGTCAAAAGGTTTTATATAGGCACCGTGATTGAGGAATATCCAACGTGATACACCGATGTTTCTATTTCGAGTACAATAGCAGCAGTCAGCGAAATTTGTTTAAACTGTGCTTCACTATATCGCTTCACTAATCCGTCATTTTATGTCGGCAAGTCTAGGGTTGAAATGTGAAGTTTACTTGCATGCAAGATGGACGGAAAGACATGCCAGCGGATGAACAACAACCAAGATAATCCAAAAGCTGTCGACTGACTGCCCTGAGATGCCTGCTCACTGTCACGCTTATGCATACGAGCTCGACAATTGATTCACTTTAGTGGATTAACTAGTAGTATCTCTGTGTGCTCCCGATAAGGCCTTCACATTCATACCGTCTAGATATACAAAGGGTTCCAGTGTGAACCGTCAGAAAGTATAAGACTGTCTGGTAGATCTTGACATGTAAAGTCTAGATACATGTGGCTTGATTGAAAAGATAAGCTTAGAAAGGCATCTAGACTTCCAGAGCAACAAGTCGCTGAATTTGGATCCCGATTGCAAACCGTCAAGCAACACTGTTGTGCTGTATGCATGTGCATAAAACACGTTGCTGGTGGGAAGCAGATGGCCTACCAAGTGATCATACCGGCCCACATCTCTGGGCCATTCAACGAGGCTTCCCAACCACCGAACTTGGCAAGCAGGTTACGGTCTTTCTATATTGTCGTTATTTAGGACCTTTTAGATATTAGAAAACAACTATTCAGTGCGTTATACATTTTGAAGTTTAAAGATCAGCCAAGATGAGTCAGATTACCATGAAGTTGGCAAGTTGTGATCTAATTTAATCAAGGAATTTTATTTCTTTCAACTAACAAGACCGTGCTCTATTACTTCCTGTTGATGATTTTCTAGATAGAAGAAGCTTCAGTCTGTTTAAACTTTACGAATTTTGGCTATCCATGAGTATCCCATATGCAGAATGCTACAACTATCCGAAGATTTCTTTTCGACATTTCATCCATGACGTCCATCAAGGTTACTATTTCATGTCAGCCATGCAGTCATGTACATCACTGAGATTAGCGCGTTCAGGTGGTGGCCTCAAATAGGCTGTCCTAATCAGTTGTCTATGCTTGTCAAATGACCAACCTGTGCAGCCTGAACCACGAACCAGAGTAAAAAAAAAACGCTCAAAGACACAACGATGACAAACGTGCAGGTTTGAAGGCAACACGATGCAAAACGCAGTTCGTCACATGCCACAAAGCTGTGCCATTTAGCAGCATCAACTATGGCATTTGTAAATGACAGTGCTACACATGCACATGGGTTTTCACAGGTTTTGTAATCAGTTGTTATGCACAAACATTTAATTCATGTGAATACTGGTTTCACCAGAAAGCTACTACAAAATGCACTTTTTGGAGGACAAATGTGCTGTGGCATCCGCGCAATATTGTTGCATAGCGTGGAAGAGGTTTGGAATGGTTACCGTTTCTGGGCATCCCGATAGACGTCGGTCGGTGATATGAGGAAATTCGGTAATTTTTATTATAGACTGCATCCTGTCAGTGAAGTCAGTCTGTTCCGAGAAGCACTATATAGTTGTTTCATCCTTGTTGGGAGTCACCAGCAATGAGTATCTCAACAAACACTGAGTTTCAAACCCGTGAACTTCCGACCAACAGTTGAACACATAACAATATGACCATAAGCGTCTGATCAACAACATGACTTGTGTTCACTTAGAAAATAGCGCAAATCACCCCTCAGTGACAGGAACCACGTCACGTGTTCAAGTATTGGGCAGCTTCCCGAGCGATGACTTTACTAACAGGACGAAATCTCTAGTGGACATTGCCAAACCTCCTCGCATCACCATCAGTCGTTGAGTGGATCGGAGGATAAATAATTCCACGAGATCAGTGAAACTTCCTTCTATGAAGTCGAAACTCGAGGATTCACGCAATAAGTGACCACCTCATGTTGTGTCTGTCATTGAAGAATGAGTGACGTTGTGTCCTGTGTAGGTTGTTGTGTCTGTCATTGAAGAATGAGTGACGTGTCCTGTGTAGGTTAAACTGATTCACACTGTTGTTTGTCTGCTCGACGCCTAACGGCTAAGTGTTCTGCCACTGGTTGGTGGGTCTCGGGTTCGAAATTGTCTGAGTTTGTGGAGGTGATCCGTGCTGATAACTGATGTAACAGCTACGCAGTGCTTCTAGGTTTTTCAGCATACACTGTCTCCCACAAAAGAATGAGCTCTCTATTATTGATTGTGTTATGTCACAATGGAAAGTGAGGAAAATATTTCTCTACGCAGTGCTTCTAGGTTTTTCAGCATATACTGTCTTCCACAAAAGGATGAACTCTCTATTATTGATTGTGTTGTGTCATAATGGAAAATGTCATAAAGGAAAATATTTCCGAACCTTCTCCCTAAGTTATAAGTTTGCACTTGCTCTGACTGCTTTAGTTGCCGCGTAGACGAACGTATGGTCGCGCACGATCAATGGGACTACTGTAGTCGATAACTTGAGTGAGGTCATGACGTCTTATAAGCGGAATTTTCGTTAGCTTACTACCGTGTCCTAAGACGATCAGATGTGTGTTTGTTTGTTCCCGGAAAAGAACTACGGTATACATTGGAATCAACAGTTTGTGAAACAGATGGTTGGGGGATTCGTTGAATACCGTAATAATTCGTTGCATAATTTAATAATTCGTTGTATAATTTTTATTGCCCACTATAAAAGGTGGTGGTCCATATTTATTGGATTCCATGGATGTTAGCCAGTAAGCACAACAACCACCCTTGAGAATTGTCCGGGTAGTTAACAGGTCAAACTACATCAACACACCATAGGAGATATAGACCATTGAAATGCGTACTTGGGTCCCCGTGGAATTGGTTCGCGGCATTACACAAATGTTATCGCGGAGCTCGAAATGGGACGATCTCTTTTGAGGAGGACCATCACCCGTGTCTAACCTGTACATCTACACTAAAGTCTCCTTAAATACGAACTTAATTAGCTTTTGTGTGCGTGGCCTCCAGTTTTCTGACTGGTCAACGCCGACTTCGGTTGACATAGAAATTAAGATAACTTCCTTGCTGATCTATCGAAGTTTTTGAGAGATGTAGAACGGGTGACCTACCGACTAAATATTCCCATTTTTGCA